TAAAATACATCGCTCTGGGTATGTTTCCTTGCACGTTTCAGATGACAAATCCACTTGAGGGCGCTGTTTACATTGTTGTGAATCTGAAATGCATGACCTATGTATGTTTTGGTGTGCATTTCAGATACGCATCATTGTTGGACATGTACGCAAGAAGGCGGGACTTGTTGCATCTAGACCAGCAAACCGCTGACCTAAATTATTTCCAAAAGTCATATTTTTTAAAAGCAGACGTAGGTGAAAAAGCACTGTGACCACTTAGATTTACCTTGAATTTACATCACAAATCCAAAATAAGCATGGGCTTTAAATGTTTTGATTGCTTTAAGTTAAGCATAATTCAGATAAGCGGGAATAAAGGGCACAAAATGAACTGCAATAATTGTTTTTAAGTACTATTACGAAAATCTCATAAACATAACTATGTTTTAATTGTCTGTACATTTATAAACACAATACTGCATTAAAGAATCACTAGTCAAAATGGTTGTCAAAACTCAATACATAAATAAATAAAATTATTTGATGCTATTTGTTGCACATTTCAGAATAACAATGAAGAATTAGGAGATTTTACTCTGATTTATTTTTTACTGAAATGTCATTTAATCACAAGGTTACTTTCCACCATTACAAATGCATTTAGTTTTAGAACTTTTTTCTTTTCTTTTTTTTTCTTAGGATTTTGTAGTTCATCCACTTAAAATAATGATTTATTGAAAAACTATTTATACTGAAGATTCATTCTTTTTTTTTTGGCTCAGTCCCTTTATTAATCTGGGGTTGCCACACCGGAATTAACCGACAACTTATCCAACATATGTTATAAGCAGCGGATGCCCTTCCAGCTGCAACCCATCACAGGATAACATTATATATTGAATATAAACAAAAAATGTAATTTAGTAAAGTTCAACTTAATTTTATTTGTTTAAATTCAGCCCATATAAATAGTTTGCAACCCCTTACATTTTAAAAAATGTAGTAAATCCAATAAATCATTTTATTCAGTGTATAATCAAATCATTTTCTGACCATGTTAGTTATTAAGCATAACTCCAATCATAAATTAGTTTAGTTTAACAGGTGTTCCAAAAAAAATCTATTTCCTCTTGGTATTTGTCCTTCCTCAATGAATAATCCTGCCTTGGGACATACAGAGGCAGATTTGATGTAAATCGGTGGGGAGTAAGGTTGCTGGGACATGAAATCTTCAGTAAAATGTAGCTAAGCCTTTTACACTTTAAGTCTTTCATAGCATTTCTTAGAGGGCTGCCAGCTCCAATGACTGTCTGAGAAAGCAAAGTAAGCTCCAAAGGACTGTTCAGAAGAGAAAAAAAGCAGAGCTTCAGCCTCGTCAAAGCCTTTCAAAGACTCTTGGGAATACTGAGTGACGTAAACACAAAAACCCTCACATCTCTCTCACTGTTATGGGTGATGGAAATGCAGAAGTGAGAGCGAACATTTCCCACCAAGGCTGCAAGACAACAACAGGAGGTGGTGTCAGCTGTCCTGCTACAACACACAAACATACTAGGGCTGCACGATATTGGGAAAATCTAACATTGCAATATTTTGTCTTTATTTGGAAAGAATTCTTCATTTTAGATCAATTGGGGTGATTTAATAAGGGATTGGATCTTGAATAATATATATATATATATAACCTACATACATAGATAAATAAAATATACCACAGATAAATAGGAATTACAGTTTTCTAGACGGTCATCTTTATTGTTTTTAATGCAATTTTTATTAAAGTTACAAACATAATAATTTCTTGTGGCCGGATGTTTTAAACTCTGAAAAGATTAAACGTTTGTACAGTCAGAGGCCTTTAAGGATAGTTTAGCCAAAAGTGAACATTTTCTTACTAATTATTCACCCTTCACTTGTTCCAAACATTTATGAGTTATTAAAATATCTTCTTTTTGTGTTCAACATTAAATCGAAACCCATAAATGTTTGAAAATCATGAGTAAAGTTTAATTTTTGGGTGAACTACCTTTTTAACTCCATCATAATTCAACTCTACATTGATTATAATCAAATATAATCCCAACTCAACATTGAAAATCCTGTGATGCGACAATTGAGGATGCACACATTGTGATACAGATGCTGAAATTATATTTTGTGCAGCCTTAATACAGTCAACGACTGTTCAGTCTGTAGTTCTTTCATCTTTAAATTTGCCAGCAGTTACAACTTCCAAATGAATTTAATTATGCATTTAGAAATGAATTTAATTATAATATGTTTACACAAAAATAAATGATTTAATTTAAATAAATTAGATTCTGAGTACTTAGTTAAATATCATGTTTATTTCCTATAACAAAATAAATAAAATAATAATAAAGTTGTTTGGTTTTACACAAAAAAAAATCTAATTTCCTAAGTCTAAGTCTAAGTATTACAAAAGTGTTTAAGTATTTATGTAAGCTATCAGTCCAAAATTTGAATAATGCAATAATGAGTTTTTTCACACATTATTTTTTTTAATCAAAAATGCAGTTAAAAGAACATTTGTGAAACCTTATTACAATTTAAAAGAATAATTTCATTATTATTATTATTATTATTATTATTATTATTATTACAATGCATTTACAGAGGGTGTGGATTAACGATTTAATGTTCCATTTCCTGCACAAGCTCATCATTCAGCTTGATAAGCCCTCAGCGTTGTCAGGAGCCATTAGTATTAATTTTGCTTTGTCTGTAAATGCTTTAACTCGCAAAATGCCAGTTGCTGTTCACTCACAATTTATGAAACAGAACCACAGTTTAAGTGGTTCAATTTAACTTTTTTTATCACCTAAATCTTGGATGGCTTGAGGGAGAGTAAATAAACAAGGGCTGCACGATATTGGAAAAGTCTGACATTGTGATATTTTATTTTGCTGCAATTTATATGTAATAAAATCGTTAACTTTGATTGGAATAATCTTGTAGAAGACTGAATCAAAGACATTGCAAGAATAAATAAATAGGATCAAAGAGCATAAATAAGAGCAAAGGTAAAAGTGAAAAAGTAGTCAGATATTCAGGTACAGTAATACGATACGATATTATAATGATATATTGTGCCTGATAATGACAGATCACTATATCAGCGATATATTACAAGAAAATTATGCACAATTTATCCTAATATTTGTAAACAAAATCCTAAAAAGTTATAAGATGTATTCCTTTTATTAACTGCACATATATTTCACAGACTTTCAACATTGTTATGTGCGATCCACTATTACGAGAAGCGCCACCTCATGCAAATCGCTATTCTGTCCTGCCCCTATTGAATAATCAAATGTAATGTAAAATGTAAACACTGTACATTCTACATTGCAATCTCAACTCCAAATTGCAGATGATGCAATGTGACTATTAGGAATGCACACATTACAATATCAATGCTGAAAAGATATATTGTGCAGCTCTAAAACAAAAACGGTAAATGATTTTTTTTATTTTTGTGGGTACACTACCCCTTTAGATTTTAAATAAATAAATACGACAAACAAATAAATAATCCTTCAATCATTAATTTTCCTTTGGCTTAGTCCGGGATTTATCAGGGGTCGCCTCAGCAGAAAAACCGCACAAATAAACCATCAAAAGAACCAATTAAATTGAAATTTTCCTCAGGTCAAAAATAAATAAATAAATAAATAAATAAATAAATAAATAAATATTAGTGTTATGGGAAGATGCGGCAGAAACTGATTAATTAGCACAATTACCACAAAAAAATACTGCAAATATATTTAATATTAGTGCTAGTGGATGCAGTTATGCCAAAGTGACTTACAAGAGAGTACATGTACCTTCAAATATACTGAGTTTAATTACACTTACGCAATACAAGTCAAGCATAACAACTAAACCTCAAGAGTCAACAAGAACTGTAATACAAGTGCAAACTCAGAAGTTTTAGCACACAGTGTACAACACATCAATACTGTACACAAAAACAGTATAATAGCAAAGTGATAGCTGCTACTTTCTTATAGCAAGAGTCTACTGTGAAATTCATTTCGCCACTGATAATACCATGCAGGTTCCATTAATTGACAACTTACTGCTTCAACTCTAAAACAAATAGTTTTAAAGATCATTTTCAGAGCTGACCATGTATACTTTTTGCTCTGCTAAGCTCTCCCTATACCCAAAATCTCCTTAAGAATAGGTAAATCAGCGTTCAGCTCTGTACATTTTACAACTGAGTAGGAGGACAAATAAACTGGTTACATAACGACTGTTCACAGCAACAAGCTGAAGTGACACGGTCCAAAATAACGATCCGAACACTAACCAATCACTGATTACCTAACACTCAAGTCACCATCTCTCCAACTAAAAAGACCTTTTCTGTGTAAATCATGGTGCTGAATGAGTCACAGTATAATGAAGCCTTTAGTGTTAAACAAGTCTTGACCTGATTCGCAACAAGCAGCCAGAAACCAGGTGTTTGAACGCTTCAAAAAAAAAAAAGAAGAAGAAGAAGAAGAAAAAAATCACAATTCCAAGAAAAGAATGACTGCCAGCCAGGATGATGCAGTGAAGAAATCATTTACGCCCACAACGCCTGGTGATGAAGATGCTTATTGCATCAAAAATAGATGAGATATAATCTTACATCTGAAACATCTCTTCTCCAGCAACCTCTTGTTGCTCCACATAATCGTTCCTCCGGGAAGAACGGCATCGTCGTTTCACTTCCTGTGCCATCTGTCATTTGCCTACTCATCTGTTTTACCTTCAACAGCCATTAATTCTTTCAAAACTATAACAAGAATCTCACGTGGGCATCCAAAAATGTGATTCTCAAACATAATTGTAGTGAAGCGCTGCCAGAATCCTCAGCAGAAAGTAAGAAGCCATTTCAAGACCACCATCGCAGCAAATAAATCCATGACACACGGCTCTGAACTGTAAACAAACGCCTTGTCACCATGGAGACACGCTGATCAAACATGTTTTTTCCATACCTACTGTTCTCCCGGTGCTCTGCAAGCATCCTGCGTAGTTAACGATGCACTTCCGATCCTAAGATTGCTGAAGAAAATAATGGTTGTTAATCTGAGCCGTGCCGATGAGGCAAAAAAGAGAGAGGGCAGAGCATTTATAGGACGCTGTGGGAGGGAGCGGCGATTCAGGCTCGTCGCTGGCACTGCCAGGAGACTTGTGCGCCAGAGAGCCAAGCAGCCTGCAGGGACTGGCAAAGCTGATCCTCCCTGTCACCAGCTCTACCACGTGGACACGTCATGGGGGGGCGACCAGTGTCATACCAGGAGATACCAAATCAAGAGTAAAGGGGGATCCATCGATAATGATCGAGGAGGAACTGCAAATCATGGCAATGCCTTAGTAAGTCTACACGAGAGGGCACTTTGAAAAGGAGAAGTCAGTCATCTGACTTATAGAACATCCACACACAGACAAAACACTTGAAACAGACTACTCCAGCACTATGGATGTGATATTTGAACGTTTTACATTAATTAATCTGGCAATGACAATGCTCAGAGTGCCCCATCTTTAATTGACATTCAAAATATGTTTGTTTTTCTTAAATATATTTAAGTTCCCCAAAAAAAGGCAAATAAGCATGCGTTATGGGAGTGACTACACTGTAAAAAATGCTGGGATCTACACAATTCTTTCATGTCGTTGGCAACACAAACCGATTAACTTCATGATTTTTACAAATTAAGTGGAATAAACATAAAACTATTAAGTTGTCCCACAAAAAAAAAAAAGAATTGTGTTGTTTCAACTCATTTTAAATAAGTAGTTCAAACCAACAGCAAAAGTATTTTTGAATGTATGACAAACATCTAATACAACGTTATAAGTCATATCATATCTTGATAACGAAAAATGTCATGATTTAATACATTTTGTTCATTAAATTGATTGATATTTTTAAATCATTGACCACATTTAAATCTGACTGTATTTGATTGATAATGTTGAAATATAAAAAAGTATGAAATATTAAACACTTTTATAAACTAATGATTGCAGACATCATAAAATATTGCTAATTAAAATGCTTAATATAAACATTGTATTTACAAGTGTGCAAATTTCTCTTGTTCTCGTTTCTGCTTTAAGTGTAATATTGCACTCTTTTAAATGATGATAAAGTATCACTGTAAACTAGAGGTGTGAACCTTAACTGATCTTATGGTTCGGTTTCGATTATCATGCCATTCTTTCAAATCAATTCGACATCTCGGTGCATCATGGTGTATAGACGATGCTTTCCATACACAGTTGTGCATTTTAATTCAAAACAACAATTCTTGTGTTAAAATGTATCATTTAAAAACACATTTTATATGTTTTTGTAATACAATTTTGTCCTTTAATACAAGCAGTCAAATATATGTAATGTACCTTTAATTTGACCTGCTCAAAGAAAACACTCTTTTTGAATGTTTTAAATAAAACTCCAGTACATGCAGAGAACAACATGAGCATTTAAGGCAAATAAACAAACGTAAATAAGAGTCTGCAAGCTCTGTCGATCAAGTTGTTAAACATTGGTCACAAGCTCAACAGAAAGGGCTGCGATTGGCTCTAACGTCTGCATCGCGATGCACCGAACAATTAATTGACACCCCTACTGTAAACAATGTTTTTTTGACACCAAGAAATATTATGAAATATTATGAAATGATAGACTTTTAATTTTGTCAATTTTGTCAATATATAATCATATTGCACAGCCCTAGATAAACAAAAAAATTACAGAATTATTAGTATAATTAAGCATTTTCTGTAATTTCTGTGAATCTGTATGTACAAATAATGATTTTCACATGATAAAGGACCTTAGCTAAACACAACAAATAAAGGTTTAAATTATGGATTTTTTTAAATAAATAAATTATGAAACAATATAACACATAAAAAGGTATAGAGAATTAGGGATGTTCCAAAAGGAAAGTATAAACACACACACACACACACACACACACACACACACACACACACACACACACACACACACACACACACACACACACACACACACACACACACACACACAAAACATCACATAAAGGGCAAAACAATCTGACTGCAGCAAAGCACTAAATAACAGTCTGAGGACATAAAGATCAAAACCAGCTCACGAAGACACAAAAGTAGAGAATTGTTGCTCAAAGCACATTACTGCTGGCTGCTTTTACGGTTACTCAAACATGAGGAATACTTCAGCTAAAGTTCTTTGCATGTACTGTGAGTCATGTTTCCTATAAAGTCATTTAATCGAAACCTACAGCTTCAAGACTGTAGTAATGTGTAAAATATCACAAGTGTGACCTAAACCGCAAAATACACACAGAGCACAAGTTCACTTGACAAAGCAGATTTAGAATTGTGCTCCTCTGTGTTATCAAGCACAGGTGATGACTGAGTAGTGCAGTTTCAGACAGCATGTACCTATTGAAATAAAAATAAATAATTCATAAGGATCAAAGATGTTTTTTTAAGGAATAAAAGAATATAAGTGTAATAAAATGTTTGTGATCCCCATGCATATTTTAAAATTTCTTTCCTAATACATTAGTATTCGTTTTACCAAGCAATAATACTAAAAATTTTAAATTAGAATCAAGTTAAAAGTGAGCAATTATTATGTTATATGTTTTAATATGTACAGGCAGGAATAAGCATATTTTGATTCTACATTCAAATGTAAAGTTATTGATTATGACACATTATTTCTACCAAAGCTTACATTACATTATTAAATATTGAAGGGCACATATTTTACCCTTTTTACTAGATGGAAGATAACCCTTTGGTGTCACTACAATGTGTCTGTAAAGTTTCAGCTCAAAATACCCATTAGATTATATATTATAGCCTCCGGAATATGCCCATTTTGGTGTCTGGATACATTGTAGATGTTTTTGTAGCCTGTGACTTTAAATGTTTATGCTTCTCCCAACCCACCGTTCCCATGTGCGTGCTTGTCATCATGCGTTACATCAGTTAAACAGCACAGCAACAGAGACAGCCTCAGATGAATCTGAAATACAGCTCATTAGTCAAAAATACCAAGTAAGTTCGTTTGATGTATTTGTGGTGGCGTTTATTCAAGCCTTTCTGAAATGATGAGCTTTGTTGATTTCATCTTAGGTGCCCTTTAAGTAAATCTAATAAATCATAAAAAAGAAATTCAGTTGAAACATTTTAAATTATTTTAAGCTAAAGCAACATAAAAACATTTATTTCTCAAGACTCACTGATCAGATAATTTTTCACGCAGTGCATTTAATGGACTATGTAAACAAAATCATATTTGACTATTTAAACTGAGGCCGAAATGAATATAAAATGGATCAATTACAATAAAACAACATTTTATATGAAAATAAACAGTTTAATTGTGTTACTCGATATCATAACAATTGCAATATTGTTACATCAAATGTGCTTTATACTTAAGATCCATACTTTCTAAATGGCATGGACTGAATGTACTGTAACATTGTACAATAACCTAAATTACCTCATCTAAAAGCACAGCAACAGAACAAAATATCATTAATTTAAAAACAAAAAGCTTGAACTACAAATCCTGTAAGCCAAACAAGTTTTAATAATGGACATACAAGGTTTATAGCATCCAAATGTGTGCAGTTTAGGTGATGTGTGACTGATATGGCCTCAAGCCAATATTATGATGACTCTGGAAGAAAAGCAGGTTCAATGACTTGCACAATACAAACGATTGGGTTGTTGATATAATGAAACCACAATCATAGCCTGTCTCTAATTGTATTCATAGTTCTGTATGGAATAACAAAGGCACGCAATACAAATGAAATGGCATGTAAATGAGTAGCCGGGAGGTGTCGATACCACACACAGCTGCTAGTGAGTCCATGACCCCTCACCTAACACAGCTGCCCAATACCTCACCATCACACTGTGTCCCAATCAATCACCACGGCCTTCAAATCACAACTTATGACATTACTGAGATTAGCTTCAGCCTTAATGAATGTGTATGTGAGTGTACAGTGATATTATTCACTACAGGTCTAATAATACAGACAGACAGTCATTCGCAGAGGGAAATCCAACATACATTCAAACATCAGATTCAGACAGACAGATAGAGAGATAGACAGAAAATGGGGGGAATTGGGGTATTGCCATACATACATACAAACAAATTCATGCAGATAGATACATAGCCAGTAGATAAACACAAACAGAGAGATATACATAGGGAAAAACACGCACACGCACATTAAAAAATATAGATTTAAATTGGGGTTTAGATACACACACGTTCAAACCCATTTAGACAGATATACAGAAAGATAAACAGACAGATAGACAGATGAGCAATTCCATGCATTTCAACCTCGCCATGAAAGAAATAGTTTTTACTAAAATAGAGAAACCATTTTAAAGTTGTTTGTGTAGGCTTGCATTTTACAGTATGTACAAAATAGGCAAGGGACCATAACCGTTTTCAAGGTATACTGCGGTTTGGAGAAGTCAAGGTTTTAAAACCACCAACATTTTCTGTAATACCTTTCCAAAGGTATGTGCAAGAGTTTTTATTCACATTTTTTGTTTGTTTTTAGGACAACAGTGTCTTCAGCAAAAAAGATCTCCAAAGATACCATTTTAAATTGTAAAGAAATCTGTGTTTTTGAAACAAATAAAAACAGCAGAAGTCAATTATTCATTTGAATTATTTTGCCTGACAGGTTTACTGTTCCAAAATATTATAAATCTTTCAAAAAATAGAATAAATTGTTTTCAAAGGGGGAAAAGGTTTTAGTTATTAACCAGACATTTTAAAAGAATATATTTTAGCAGTGATCACAATACCGTGATACCGTGTAACAGTGATAATTTAAACCAAGGTTATCATACCATCAGAATCTTATACTGGTCCATGCCTAATTCAAATACTCAAAAATGTCTCTTTCAATGTCTTTAAACATTTTTTTTTTTTTTTTTGAGTTTTGGGCATGATTAAAAAAGCTCTGTTCATACAGGCGAGGACGTTCCAGATTTTTTGGGGAAAAGAGCATTCACACATCCGGCAAAATACCGGTAAATTCTGACATCATTAACAAGAAATGAGCTCAATTTGTAAACACAGAAGGGGTCTGGCTTTTGTTGATGGTTTCACTATTGTTTAAAGCTTTAGCATTCATGCAGGTGCTTTTCTCCCAGAGACATCCAAAGGCAAAAGCGCGAACCGCAACTAAATATTTACACATTTGACAAATTCTGTGGATAAGTAAATG